TTCAAGAGAACGAAAATAAAACAAAACAAAACAAAATTTCATGTTGCCAAATTAATATACTGTTCCTTTATACATTTTCCTTTTTGTGTTTTTTTATTTGTTTTTAGTTTTGTTTGTTTTGTTTTTGAGACTTGTGGCTCTGGGTGACTTGGAACTCGCTAGGTAAGACCTCTCCCTACTGAGTACAGGGATTAAAGGTGTACACCACCAAAGCTGGTGCTTTCATTTTGTTTCCTGGTGCTGGGGATTGAAGCTATGGCCTCTTGCACACTAGGTAAGCTGTCTTCTGTGGAGTTATACCCCTCCATACCCCTTTCTTAGACATTTATTGAAAATTGAGTCAAGATATCATTAAGCTGTCTAAACTGGCCTTGAGTTCAAGCAAGCTTTGAACTTTTGACCGTATCTCAGCCTCCTGAGGAGCTGGAATTGGAGGATCCATACCTTAGGCCTGATTTACCCTGTATTTCTTGTCGTTAGTTTAAAAGGCTCTTTCCTAGAACCTTATTAATAGTTCCCTTTCAGGCTGGGGTTAGTGGCTCATGCCTTTAATCCCAGAGTTCAGGAGGCAGAGGCAGGTGGGTCTCTGTGAGTTTAAGGCCAGCCTGGTCTGCAAAGGGAGTCTAGAAAAAAGAAACCCTGTCTCGAAAAACAAACAAAAAAAAAATCCCTTTCTCCCAGAGGAAATGGATAGTTGGGTTTTCATAGGTAAACTTTTCAGTAATGGAGAATGAAAAGCATTTTTTTTGTGTAGGATATAGTAGAGTTTAGTTGTTGGTTATTTTTGTTTTGTTTTGTTTTGTTTTTTGTTTTCTTACATGGAAAATAAAGGCCTAGCTCTGGCCCAGATCTTGTTTCTGTTCTGTGCCACCTTTCTCTGCTTGTTCTTTGCCAGTGCTTTCCCAGGGAGGTCTAGAGAGCCTGTGCATCAGGCCCCTTCTTAGACTCCTGTACCCTGACTTCTCTACACTGTGGCCCAGGCATCCTTTCAGGTTTTAGAGGCTGGAAGTGTGGTTTTCTCGGACTTGCTATGTATGCACATGGAAAGGCCAGAATGGAGGAGCTGCCATTTCAAATGGTTAAGATGCCAGAGAAGAGCCTAGAGAGGTAGCTTAGTTAATAAGGAGCCACCTGAACAAACATTAAGACTTGAGTTCCATTCCCAGCATCCATGGAAAAAGCCAAGTACCTGATGGCTGTGGTAGTATACACAACCTTTAATTCCAACAACACTCAACAGGCTATGAGTTCAAGGTCAGCCTGGTATATAGTGAGTTCCAGGACAGCCGGAACTACAGAATGAGACTCCGTCCAAAACCTAAACAAACAAACAAACAAAAAACCCAGCAAAAGCAAAAACAAAAATGACCAGGCACAGTGGTATGCACAGTAAGGCCAGCTCTGGGGAAATGGAGACAGAGAGATCCACAGGACTTACCAGCAGCCAGTGTAGTCCAGTCGATGTGCTCTAGGGCCAGCAAGATCCCATCTCAAAAAATAAGATTGAGAGCAATTGAGGAAAGCACTCAACACCAAGTCTCCCCCAACAAGCACGCACATCTGCATGCACTCAAGCACGAAGGGACCAAAAAACCAGAAAAGGAACACTACTCTATACAAGAGAGCACAAACTTTGCTTCCCTGAGGGCAGGGTAGAAATCTTGATGAATGCACACATGCTGACCTGGTTTATTTCTTTCTTTCTTTTTTTTTTTTTTTTAACTTGTAAATGTTGTGCTTTTTTCTCCTTTATGTTTTGAAGTATCGTATTGGGTTAATATTGTGATGCTTCTGCCTGCTGGAACAGTACCCTAGATCATGCAACACACAAGAAAGTAACTGTTCTCATTGTTGCTTTATCACTGGGAAAATTCTAGACCCTAAACTGAGAACAATGGGGAGTCTGGCCTTTAAATAAGTTACTCTTCATGTCATGTCTGGAAACCAGTGTCTCAGCTCTCAAAGCTTTCAGATGGGAAATAGGATCTTTTTTTTTTTTTTTTTTTTTTTTTTGACGACGCTAGAACCTAAGGCTTTGCAATGCTAAGCCAGTGCTGTAACTCTAACTTACATTTCAGGCCTGGTCCGTGGATTGGGAGGATGGCCCATTCTTTAACTAGGTTTCAAAAGAAATTTAAATGTCTAATTTTTGCCTTTGTTTAGAGTACTATTAGTTCACCTAAATAAGGCAGAGGGCCAGACAGTGACTATTGTGGCCCGATACGGTCAGTTTCTGGGGAAGCATTTGGCAGCCTGAGGAAAAGGGCCAGCTTTCTAACAGGCACACCTCCCTCGGACTTATCTCTTGGGAAACGCTTTCCTGTGTATTTGCCTGGTGCTGACAACCCCGAGTCCACCTCCCTGGCCACAGATAAAGGAGAGCTGTTCATTATTAACCTCTTGGACTTTGCACGGACACCTGCTTAGGCAATTCAGCTGTCCCTGGTAGCCGGAAGCTGCTGGAGGTGTGGACTCTCTTCACATCCGGAACATAGATACTGAGGCCAGTTTGGGTCACTTGTGCATACGGTTTCCCAGTGCTGAGGAAGATCTTAAAGTGGTTGTGGTCCTATTAGCTACAGTGGGATATCCAGAGTGGTCCTTGAGTACACAAATGGAAAGCCAGGGGCATTAATGATCTTAACAAAGCCTGGAAGATGTGAGTGCCTTTGGCTACGGTCTGCGTGTATTATCTTGAAAACGTGTTCAGTGTTATTGGAAGCAGAGACTACTTGAATTTAGGCATGAGTGATAAGTTTAGGAGATAGGAAGGTTCCTTTGTAGTTTATCATTGAAAGGATCAACCATCTTCTCATCCAGAGGAAATGCCCTCATTAAGTAGGGCTTCTGCTGTATATACAGAGGGTTAAAATTTTACACAGTTATTAAATACAGACTCACAAGGTGCCTGTATAGCATCAGATAACAGTGAGTTTTGGTTCTTGCTGATCATGGCATAGCTCACAAGCCTTTTTCAGTGTTAAAGACAGTGAGTTGCATCCATGTCTCCATTTTAGGGACACAAGAAATAAGAAAAAAAGGAGGCGAGAGTGGGCAGCTGTGTGCAGACCCAACTGTGCCCACACAGCGCGGAGGAGGTCTCCTGTTAGTGTACAGACATGTCCTGGTGGCCCTGATATTATCCCAAAGGTGCTTCCTCTCTCTTGGCCCCCTCAGCCGCTGTGGACATTCTTCCCCAGTCACAGTAAAACTTCAAAATGGTATCTTATCTTTCTGCTGTCATGACCTTTAGCACCATTCCACACCAAGGCAAGATGCTGACCATCCCTCACAAGTATGCCTGCCTGGTGCAGACTGATAACTGGTCCTTTGTGTTACTGTCCTTAAATTAAACTCACACCAGCACCCAACACTGCTCCTCCTGCTGGGGTTTTCCTTCCTAGTTTGATGGGTCCTCTTTGCCTTTTCTTTTGTTGAGCTCTTCTCGGCTCTAAGATTTTACAAAATCTCATGCTTGTCTTTCTGTTTCTGGGTTACCTCACTCAGGATGATCTCTTCTAGTTCCATCCATTTGCCTGCAAATTTCATGTTTTTCTTGTTTTTAATAGCTGAGCAGTATTCCTTTGTGTAGATGTGCCACACTCTTCTGTATCCATTCCTCTGTTGAGGAACATCTAAGTTGTTGATGCGGCCTTGCCAGGCCTCGGAGGAAGAGGATCCAGGCAGTCCTGATGTGGCTTAACAAGCTATGGGCAAATGGCAATAGTGGAGAACTCTGCCACTTTCAGTGGACTAGGGGAAGGGGATGAGGGGAAGAGCGAGGGAGGGTGGGACTGGGGAAATTGAGGGAGGGGTCTTCAGTCGTGATATATTCTGAATAAATTGTGAAGAAAAAAAAATTAAAAAAAAAAGATTTTGCGAAATCTAATAAAACTGTGCTCCTGATGCCACCTCTCTTCATCTCCACTTTCCTGGGTGGAGCCCTTTCCTTTTCTCTTTCTTTCCTCTAACAACAACAAAACAATAATAATATCCATAATAATTATTGGTATTATTTGCTACGCCAGCAACCAAATGTAGGGCCTTGGGCATGAGGGTTGGTTGTCTACCACTGAGTCCTAATTTTGTCAACTAAACTTCTAAAACTTCTCTGTTGTCACTGTATGTAAAGAGCCCACGTAGAGTCTTTAGGTGGATTTGGCCGGGTTCTTGATGGTTTGTTTTTAATATCTAACCAGCGTCTCAAACTTAGTAATGTTCAGTGTAGCCCACCCCAACTGCCTGAATCTTCTGGAGTTTATTGAGAGAGGAAATGTGTGCTTCCCCCCTCCCCAGGAATGTATTAGACTCCTCTTTCTTTCACTCATCACATCTAGTCCCTTAGTAGATCCTGTTAATTTGACCTTCACACTCACATCTAATCCCTGTTTACTTCTCTCTGTCTCCCCCTCCTTTGTACCAGCCATGCAGCCAACTCTTTTTTTTTGGCACGTTATTGCGGCTTCATGATTGATTTCTTTGCTACAGCCATTGACCGCTGATAACATTTATTAGCCCCACAGCCAAAATGATCTCTGTAAGAACTATGTAAACGCTTGTCAATCTCCCCGCTACAGAAAGGGATGACTCATTTCCAGCAATATTAAACGAATTCTGCTCACAGCAGCTCACACAGATAACAGCTACAGACTCAGGGTCAATGGAGATATATCAACAAGAGTTGGCAGACATGATTGGAAGGGAGTATATGTTTACAAAACTAGATACACCAAAGTGGAAGTGTTCAAAAGTCTCTGTAATGCTCTACAAAATTGTTGCAGCTCTCTGAGTTGTGTATGTATGAGACAGTCTCCATGTAGGCCAGAATCAGGTGTGCAGAGCTCAACAAACCCATCAGCTGCTACCTCCTCAGAGGACAGAGAACTAGGAATTTAAAGCCCTTCAAGTCAAGATCTTACATAAAAAGGTAATAGCATATGCGACATGGAGAAATACCAGGGTCTGAGGCTCTGTAATAACACTTCATTCTCTTTCTCTAGGGCACGACTGAAGAATCACAGAGGAAGAACCAGAAAAAAACATCTGAAAGAGTTATGGCTTTTATTCAGTGAAACCCAGACATTTAATCATTTGTGAAATCCAACGACCTCCACCTAGAGTAAGTAGAAAGAAAAGTACACCCTGGTAGAGGAGCATCTGCAGAAAAGAAAAGGATAAAGCAGTCATAATGGCTGTGAACTTCCTCATCTCCAGACATGTCAAAACAGGGAACAGTAACTTCACGTACAGACATTTAAAAATGACCACCTTCACCCCAGAATCATATGCCTCCCAGAATGAAGAGAAAAGGCTGGGAGTATGGTTGAGTGGCAGGTGACCAGCAGAACGTGCCATCCAGGCCCCTGAGTTTGGGATACAGGATTAGAAAAAAAAAAGCAAATAAAAAACAGAAAAGAGGGGGAAGGTGTTGGAGGCAGACATTTTTAGGTCAGTAACGTAAAGAGCATTCATGGTCAGCTTTCAGTGCCACAAAACATGTTGAAGAGAAGAGAGGAGAGAGATCTGACCCTTTGGAGATGGTTGAAGAGTTTGGAGTGCTATTTGAATGAAAAGGCCTAGATATCCCTCTGCAGGTATCTGCCATACAGGAAGGTCACATTAGCTTTTCCTGGTTTCCCTCCTGAAAGACAATAACGTAGAAGTAGAGTAGTGACCTAGTGGTCTTGTGATGAGTGGGAGATCTGCCTGAGTCAGGGGGAAAGGGTTGTGGGTGACCCTAATGGCTGGACCATGGAGTATGGGGACTGGGGATCTAGGACTGCTCCTAGTCACTGACCTATGTTCTCCTCCTCCTCCTCCTCCTTCTTCACTTTATTATGTATAAAGTATTCTGCCCACATGCGTGCCAGAAGGGGGCACCAGATCTCATAGATGGTTATGAGCCACCTTGTAGTTGCTGGGATTTGAACTCAGGACCTTTGGAAGTACGGCTAGTGCTCTTAATCTCTGAGCCATCTTTCCAGCCTGCACTGACTATGTTCTTTAAGGCTGGACCTAAGTAAACATAAGGAAGACTGGGGTTACTGCCCAGCCTGCTACTGTACAGTATACTCAATAACCTATGGTTCCAGAGAGAGAGACAGAGACAGACAAAGACACAGAGAGATACACACATACAAAGAGATGATGAAGTTAATCTGATGGAAAATAATTGATTTGGTTTGATTAATTCTTTTTAAGAAAAAATAATATATACTTTATATCGATTACTTCCTTTTTCATACCTATTTTCTTATTAGTTCTTTGACAACTCCATACAGTGTGGTTGTTTATTTTTAACCCCTTCCTAACTTCTCTAAGATCAACCCCATTTTCCCTGTTCACCAAATTTTGTGTCTTTTTTAAAAAAAAAACTCATCAAGTCCCATTTATGCTGCCCATATATTCTTGGATGTCCAGGCTTCTTCTGTGGCATGGTAAGTGTGCCAGGGACTGCACTCCTAAAGAAAATTGACTGTACCCTTGCAGCAGTTCCTCAGTAAGGAGTGGGCTCTTACACCTCTTCACTCCATGCTGAGGTGGGGTCCAGCCTGAGCTTGCGTAAATCTTGTACATGCTTTCACAACCACTCTGAGTTCATTTGTGCCACTGCCTGTGTCTGGAAAACACTGTTTCTTTGTGGTAATTCATTGTCTCTGGATCTTACAGACTGTCTGCCCTCTCTCCTGTATTGATCCCTGAGCCTTGGGATCTGTTTATACTCGGTCTTTTGTTCTCTTCGTGTTGACTAGTTTTGGATCCCTGAATTAATTGCCATGTCCTGGAAAAAGAAGGGGTAAAAGGGATAAGAAATGTGCTAACTTATGGGTGTGAATATAGGAACTTAGAGGGAAATTTAACTCTATGTTCAGGTAGCAGAATTAGCAGTATTAGGTTCTCAGCTGGCGCCTATGACCTAGCCAAACATGGGTCTTTGGCCCAGTTAACAGTACCAGCCGTGAATTCTATCTTGTGGAGCAGGCTTTAAATCTAAGTGTAAAATGGTTGGTTCCATAATGTTCATGCCACTATGGCACAGGTAGGCATATCTTGCCTGTCAGGTTTCACAGCAGGGTAAGACTGTTAATGACTTTTCCCTGTTAGTATGCATAGAATCTTCTGTTACTGTAAAAGCTATCCAGTAGGCATGAAGCTTCCAGGTTGGGACCAACTTGATTTTTCCATATCCTGTAACAAGTGATGTCTTCAGAAACTGGATTTTATCATCAAGTTCTGAGAGTAACCAAGAGCGATGGCAACGGCCTGCAATGTGTGGGGAAGCCCCACTGACCAATAGCTCAAAGAGAAGTAACCCAGACCCAGCACTGAGATTTTTATTTGATGGTTTGTGGTGTCACAACCTGCATGGCTTTGGGACTAGCCTAACTGGGACAACGGGGAATAAAGAAATGACAGATACAGAAAATGACACATACAGAAAAGTCTGAGTGGCCTGTGGGCTCTGGTGGAGATGTACCAGTAGCTGGGAAACTCGATGTATTTGTCATTTACATTGAATCAGGCGAGTTAAACTAATCTCGGTGGGAGGTCTCTGTAGGGAGCTGACTCAGGTTGCAGTCATCTGGAGGGAGAAAACTTCGGTTAATATTTTCTCCACACACTGGTTTTAGCTAGAGATCAATGGTCATCAACTCCCTCAGATCAGGGAAAGGCGTTGCAGGTCCTCAGAGCTGATCTGTGGAGCTGAGGCATTAGGGTTCTTGGCATGGCAATGCTCACCTCAGTAGGACACATTCATTCAGGATTCCATCCATTCCCCATGCTATGAAGTCTGTCAAAGGCATTGTTCTCCTACTATAGGCTAACTCCTTTTATATATGCATACATAAATATTTTAAGAAGCTTCTACAGCAGTAGTTTTCCATATGATATTTTCAGACATCTCTCATTTTAGTTTTTTGAGGAACGCACACACTAGCATTCACGGTCTAAAACTGTAGGCCGAACGAAACACTCTCTTTTGTTAAGTTGCCCTGGTCATGGCGTTGTATCACAGCCATAGAAAAGTATCAAACACCACGCCATCCAGCCGGTGTTGGTTTTGCAGATATGAGAATGAAAAAGTGATGCGGTCATGAAAGCTTACAACCTAGATTCTAGAGAAAAGCCTGTGAGGTCAAAGGATTGGTGGTACAGCACTCATTTTAAAACTGCCAACCCTGCATGCTATGCCTTCTGCCTCCCAGCTCCCATACTCAGTATCCCTCAGAGTCCCAGACCAGGCCTGTCTCCTGGCTGCCCAAGGCAGGCCTTTACCAGCTGGCAAAAGCCACACTCCGAATGAGACAGTTAGCAGCTGTGGACAAACTAAAATCCCACACTGAAATCCCACACTTGGGATTAAAACCAAAACACATTTACATCACATAACCGAGTTTACAAAGAAACCAAAACTTCCATTACAAGGTAGCAGCAGCAAACTATTGTAGGAATTGCTGAATAGTCTGTGTATAAAGAAAGCTTTTAGGGCAAACCCTAAGATGCAGCGGAGACCCCAGGAAGTGAGAGATGCCAGGAACATGAGTCATCTGCTGAAGCAAGCTGTAGGCACCAAGCAAAGCAGGCTTAGGAACAATGCATAGCAGCAGGGCTGCCCAAGCTTATGCCATGACACCATCTGCCCCACGCTACACTCTGACCCACAGGATTTAATATCTCCATTGTTGGATTGCAGTCTTGATTTAGCCCAATATTTCTTGGTCATCCACCTGTCCTCCCATTTTAGAATGGAAATTTTCTTATGTGGGAATCTGGGGACATTCAAAGATTGGGCGGCTACCACCGCCGTCTCACCAAAATCCTCCCTCCGAGTCATTTGTTAACTGAATTATTATGTGTGGATCCAGCCACATATAAATAAGAAGTGGCAGTCATGTGACGGCCACGGTTGGTACTGCTTCATCTGCTGTGCCTAAATCATTTGGGGGACAGAAGGTTTTATGCCTCGTGGCTGCCTTGTCTGTTTCCATCCATGTCTTTCTGTTGATTCTTCCCTGCCATCTTACCCTGAGTGATGCAGCTGCTCTCTGAAGGCCTTTCTACCTCCAGGCAAATCAGATTCCCCAGCATGCTTCTGCTCTTCCCCCTTCACACATCCCAGCCATGATAGGTCACCCCCTTGTGAGACTGAGCCAAACTCGAAGAATTCTAGTTCAGATTCCCTTCACACGTACCCAGATATTTAGAGGGATCGTCCCCATCCAAAAGCACACAGTTGCTTTCTTATGTATTTGAACGGTATTTTCATGCATAGTTTTACAACACAGATTCCAGTCTTTGACCCAGCTGCAATGTGGTGTTTTGGTGTATTGTAAGAATCTAGGGATAGGGGCATAGTTTAGAGACCTTTCCCAGTATGTGCCAGGCCCTGGGCTCCATCTCAAGGACTAAAGAAAACAAGAACCTAAGTCTCCCCCTAGATGATTTTCCAGGCATGGCTAACCAGTTGAATAAGCCATTCTTGTTCTGTTTAATGAGTTCTTCGGTACACATAGGTACGCATACATGTATGCCTGCAGACACACACACACACACACACACACACACACACACACACACACACACA